TTATAATCTACAGTTTGATACCAAACTTATTGACATAAATTCATGAAATAGTAATTCAATAAAATTTTGAATGAGAGATAACATGGCCTTTCATCCGTGACCCATCTCGAAAGGGTTAACATAAATTAAGAGGTAGGAACCTATCCTTATAAACTAACATTTCCATCTCCAAAATTATTCTAGTAGCCCTCCTCTGAGCCCTTTTCCAATAAGCATCCTTTTTTAGATAAAGAAACCAAAACTGTACACAGTGTTCCATGTGAAACCTAACTAGTGACATACGTAGAAAGATCAAGAGAAATAATTTCCTATTTTGAGTTACAATCAATATGTCAGTAAATATACTATAAAGCTATAATAGCAATATTTGTTCACTGTACCAGTGGATACTCTGTGGAAACTCAACATCCTCATTAAAGCTAAAAATACCCAAGATTTTACTGTCATCAGCAAATTTTACTAATATATGAACACTGTATGTTGAATCTCTTAGATGTCATAATGTCCATAGTTACTTCATCTATTATGTTAAAAGGTATCAACATCAAATAACTTATAGCCTGGAATTTCAAAATAATTCTTATTATCAGTGTCTCCAAATCTAACCAAGTTTCTGTAATTCCCATGATATCATAGACTTTCATTTAAGCATGAGCCATGGACTCATCCCATATGCTTGGATGACAGCTGTAATGATATGGATATTGTAGTGACTTAATAATGTTAATCTTAATCAGTATTTCTTTGTTTATCTTTTAAAGTTTTATATTTTTTTCAAAGTTTTAAATGAATGATTTGTTTAATCTAAGTGCATTAAACACTTTTTATATTAAAATTCTATTAAAAGAATAAAACTATATATTATTTTTGTAAAATATACACTACAAATTTAGGTGCAGAATCTTTAGAACAAAATGTAACCAAAGTATCATTAATGTACCTTCTGTAATTTAGGATAATTCACTATAGAATGTATGTTGATTCTTTTTTATATTTTGCTCTAAAGATCATATATATCTAGAATATATATACTACTATCTGTAGGTATGCAAATCTTTATGTTTGTAAATTTAATTATTCTGATGAAAACTAATTATTTAGTAGAATTCTAAAATCACTTCCCCAGATGCAAATGTTATAAATGCAATAATATTTTTTAGCATTATTTGTGCATTGAATATAAAAACAATACATGCTAGTGATTGGGATTAAAATTTAACTTTGTTTTATATTTACATTGTTTTAACATTATTTACTTATTCTTTTGAATGTTTAAGATAAAGTTTGTTTCTATCATTGGAAAATTATTTTATCTGATTGTATTACCAATATTTTCATTTTAACAAGTATGAAAACACATCAGGGCCAGCTCAACAAATACCAAAACTTGAAGAAACAGATAGGCCAGTTTTTCCTGGATCAAGATCTCGTTGGACAGAAAAACTAGAATTTATCCAGCCTGATACTTATGATGGCATACCAGTGTATAGAGTTACTAATAGAGATGGAAAAATTATCAATTCTTCAGAAGATCCTCAGGTACATCATCTGTTACATTATTTATTCCAAACTTTCAAATGCATAAGCCATAGAAATGTAAACTAAATTAGTAAGTATAAAGTTTTTATTCATCAGCATCAATGATTTTCAATTTCAAATTCTTTTTTTTTTTCTGAATACCCATCTGTTGTATAGAAGTGAAAATCCACTTTCATTTTATATCCCTTTCTTCAAACAAAATGTTTATCTGAATAGGGCTTTGAATTAACACTAGAAAAATTGCAAATTACTAGTTAGTGGTGTGATTTTTGCCAGCGTAACCTATTAGACTCTTTCAGAAATTGCTATTATGCATTTCAGAAGAACGATTCACAGACTCCTGTTGTTTATCCTCAATACACTTGTGATTCATGCATTTCAGTCACTTATACTGCAAGATTCTGAGTACAGAAGGTTACTCCATTTGATAGTTTTCACTGACATCACAACATTGAGGGTTTTATCAAGCTCCCATCTTATGTGTTAAGTTCATACAACTGTAATAAGCCAATAAAGTATTGTTTAATTACTCTTAGAATGGACAGTGGTGATAAAAGTAGTGCCATTATTAGTGGCTCCCTCTATTCGATTCTACCAAACTATCACTTCTTGTTTGGCAGTACTCATATTCAGATGTTTTTATGTTAGTGCTATTCGTGTGAATCATGATTTTAATAGTTTAATTGCAAAAGTGGAATTTCTTCATTATTATTTTTTCTTTACAATGAAAAAATCTTTTAATTTAACTTAATTTCCTTGTCTTTATTTTTTCTCACTCCCACATATTTTAAATCAAATACTTTTGTTTGATTTACATATTTCTATAATGAATTCTGTTCTCTCTTCAGGTGTTATACCTCTCGCACTACTTTCACAGGCTACAGGTGGGAGAAACCTGTTGTTGGATTTCTCTGCTATTATCCGTCGTGAGATTGATTGTTATATGGGTAAACCACTAATCCTCCTGAACAAGCTGAACGTGTTTGGGCCGATGAAGATTTGATAGCCTTTTTACACCTCTGGATTTTGCCCTGTTTTCCCTACCCCTCCTGCAGAATCAGCTAGGCCCAGTATGACATTTTTCTACATAATTTCTCGGATATGTTATATTTTATCCAATTATCCATTTTTCTGTGGTTCGGTATTACCTCCAAGTTGGCTCATTTGTCATCTTTGGCTCTCTCTTCACTTAGGTGATTTCCCTGTAGTTGGGATTTTCTGAGTTGCGATGTAACCTTGTCCTGGGTACTTTCGCTTTACGGGATTTCTGTGTTTTTTGTTCGTTTATCTGTGACTTTGGAATCTTGTGTTTAACCTGTGCTTCAACACTCGACCCTTTCATCTTTGATTGCATGTTTGTCACAGTTAGAGTTACAACATAAAGGATTTCTCATATTGTCATTTTATTCAACATTGATGGGAATGTTGCCAACTGTACTGGAGTATAACCAGAGAATTCTAGTCCAGTGGGAGCTTGACTATATTATGTTGTTATCCTTTGGTGATCTTTCACTACAGTTCTTTGGGTTTTATGAATGGGACTTGTCATCTAATTTCTTTTCCCACCTTCTTTATCCCTGATACCTTTTTCCTTCCCCAAGACTTGGGATTCTGCCACCAGCTTGCATCTGTCTGAGGCAGTACAAGATTTTCTGTCTCTATAGGCCATTGCACCTGTTCATCATCTTTTTTCCAGGCTTTTATTCCAAGCTGTTTGTTATCGTTGTGCCAAATCCTTGTATTAGGTTTGTCACACCTCATTTTAATTTTCAATCTGCCCCATTTTACCTTAGAGTCGTTTCTCACCCTTAGGTGTTTTTTCTCCAGGTTTATTGATGACAAAGAGGAATATTGCAAATGCTTATTTGCATATCTCGATATTTCGTCACTCGCAACCCTCTCTGTTTTGCACACTGCCCTTTGGACTTAATTCAGCCTTGTATGTTCTGTCAGGCATTCATAACATTCGTTCATCACTTATATGCTCTCTGGTTGTGCTTTCTTCTTTCTTTGGTTGACTGGCTACTGTTCACTCATTCCAAACAGTTATCCTTATCAGCTGCTCCTGGAGGCAGCTATAATGGGCTGTTAATCAAGTTGGAGAAGTCCTTACTGTGACCTGTCCAATATTTTAACCATTTGGGTGTTTTTCTTTTTTTACACACATCTCAGTTGGGCCCGCCCTTCTCCTCTTCGACTTCATTCGATGGGTTTTCAGTTTGATTACAGAGCGCAAAGTTCCATCTCTATTGGGGATGTGATTTTCCATAGTAACTTTAGTCCCTTGGGTCAGGCTCATGTGGGGGCTCTTTCATGGGCTTTTCACGAACAGTAGAATTTTACAGGGATTCTTTATTGGCTCTTCTGCTCCTTCCTCCTACCTTTGTTGTCGATCAGTGTTGGTGGTTAGTAATGACTCGCACGTTGGCAGGTGTCCCTCTTCCTCATCCAGTTTTCCACATCTCATGGACTCATCCCTTTGGGATTGATCAACTGGAAGATTTGGGGTTTTTGGTCTGTGGCTGTGAGGTCTGATCCTATCAACGTCCTGGAACTTCTCGTTATAGGTCGTGTTTTGGTTCATTTTCTCCATCTGGCTGGAAATTGTCTTGTAATGATCCATTCTGACTTTTCTATATTGGTTGCTTATCTCATTCACCAGGGTAGCACTTGTTCTTCATCCCTCTGTATTCATATGTTGTATCTTCTTTTTGGGCCCACACACTCAATATTCCTGTCAGTGAGTGTCATGTTCTGGGTGTTTTTGCTCTTGTCGTGGATTGGATTCCAGTCTAGACAACATTTATCAGACAAAGCAGTCTCTTGATCCTTTTGTTTTCCAGTGGCTTTGATGTCAGTGGGGTACTCCTCACATTGGGGATTTTGCTATGTCCCTTAACCACAAATTGCCTTGGTTTTGGTCTCTTTGTCTTCTTGTTCTGGCTATTGATGTTTTCAGCCAGGATTGGACCTACACATTTCTCTATCCTCCTGTTCTCCTTCTTCTCCAGGTGATTTTGTTCATACTTGACACTCCACGTTCAGTCCTTCTGATAGCTCTTTCCTGGCCATCTCAGCTGTGGTTTCCACTGCTTTTCCAGCTCCAGCTTCCTCCTCTGTTACCTTTTTCTCTGCCTCAATCCCTTTTTAGCCACTCTCATTCACTGGTGTTTCATCCAGATCTTCCTGTCATCCGTCTTTATGCCTGGTTATTTTCTAGTCATTGTCGAGGTGATCTGGTTTCTCCCACAGTTAATCTCTTTTCTGGCTTGTTTCATTCACACTTCCTTCATGAAAATTTTTCCATTATTGGTTTCTGGTTCCAGTGTCTTCTGTCTCCTTGATATCGGATTTTTGAGCAGTCCTGTCCCACACCTTTTGTTTTTCCTGATCCCACAGGTATTTCACTCTTGTACACTTTACCTGTGAATGTGGTCCTGGCGGATTTACCATCCATCATGGCCAGCTGCTCTTCCAGATGGGGTCCTGAACTGCCTCACTTTGCCTACATTCGAACCACTCTCCCAGTGCTCCTTGTGTCACCTTCCCTTCAGTCTTCTTTCCTTCTCCTATTCACCTGTGGATGTTGGTGGTCCATTTATTTGCCCTCAGTGTTTCATGTACTCTTTATCCTTCTTGATATCTTCTCCTTTCTCTGGATCATTTTTCCTTCCTCACACGTTGATGGCTCTTGAGGATAAATCCTCCGTTTAGCAGCTTTCACTTCCTTCCATTTTACACCTTTATCCTTGTCCTGATCTGGATAGGCTTCTTTCTTCCTTGGCAACTGTCCGCTGTTCATGTTATTTCTCCTTCCTTCTCTGCCAATTGGGTTCAGCTCTTCATTCGATTGGCTTCTTCCTCTTCATTGTCTTCACCCGTAATTTGTTCCAAGTGTCTTCTCACCCAATTTGACACAGTACTTTTTCATTAGCATTTCATCTTCATTGTCCTTTGGAGGTACTTCTTCAATTGGACATGTGGACTGCCCATGATACGTTCATTTCTCACTATTTGCATCAGATCGCGGTTCTCTTCCTCTTTGGGTTATCGTCTTCTGCCTGTATCCATTCTAGAATATCAGAATTCAGTGAGACTTTGACTGGGTAGTATTTTTGTTTTCTTATTTTTCTTTTTCAGGAGCCCTCTTCCCTTATATTAATATTAAAAGCTGCACTGTCAAGCCATGTCAACTTGCATATTATAATTCCATGGCCATGCAGTGTACACTGTAGAGATGGGGTGTTCCACAACATTACTTGTAGGTTTTTACTCACAATGGAATTACTTCATAAATTTGCCTGTCCTGGACCATACTCACCCACGGACTACATGGGTAAAGCAGAAGGGGATAGCTGCCCATCTCTAACATGCCTTGTATTGAATAAATCTCTATGTTCTGCTTTTACAAATAGAGTTTTGTGTTCACCCATTGCACTTTCTCAGATGTTGTCGTTCCTCCAGACTCTCCACTACGTTTTACTCTTTTTTCTTTCCAGTTCCAAGCCATTGGACTGTGAAGGTATCCTCCTGAATGGGTTAATGAAATACAAACAAAATAACAAAACAAATTGAAGTGAGATCTCAAAATTATAGTCCACCCCCTACGATTGTGATCCCTCATCCTACCCCATGTGGATGTCGGTTCCTGGTGGCCAGGTTTTGGATTTAGAATAGAATCAATTGACATAAGTCCTCACACATGTATTACAGATGTGTATATTCCTCCCTCATTTATACTTCATCAGTATTGTGGGTCACGTTGGAGGTAATTGCGGATTGTTACAGTTCTTTTTCTTTTGCAGTTCCTTGGTGTATCTTATTCCGAGGATGTTAATGTGTATGGGGTGGTTCCAGTCAATTTCACTTTTGAAGGATATGGTTTAAGTTATGTAGACATCTTTTTGATACCTTATGTCACGTTCCTGGATCAGTCTATTAACTTATTATATTCACATGTGCTCTGTTCATGAGCCAGGGGGTACTAGTTTTCTTCTGGTCTCATGAACTTGAGGTGAAAGCAGTATGATCCCCTTTCCTACCCCCACCAGATGGCTGGGTTTTGGATTGTAGTTGACTTTTCACCAGTATGATCCTCTTTACTACCCCCACATGGATGTTGGTTCCCGGTAGCTTGGGTTTTGGATTATAGTCAATTTGCCAGTGGTATGATTCTCTTTCCTATCCCCACATTGATGTCTGTACCTGATGGCCAGGTTTTGGTTTGTATTTGAATTACTGATAGTATGATCTTCATCCTACTCCTCCATGGATGTGGGTTCCCAGCAACATTAGTTTTTGGATGTAGATGACCTGCTGTGTATGGTTCCTTGTGCCCTAGCCACTCTATACCTAGGGCACATCTTTTTCATTTTACCCATTTTTATAATTTCTGGAATTCAATTTCATAAATATTGCATTGTTTGGATCACTTTCTGGCTATAGTTCTCTCCCAGTCGGATGTGCTCTTCTGTTTTCTGCCCATATATGCAACATCTTTCCAAGATGGGTGAAGAGTATATCTGGTTCAGAAGTGGTGCGGTTCCCCACATAAGATCTTAGAGTCTGACTGTCTCATCTGAGGGAGTGTCCTTTGGATGCTTCTTTCTTTCCCTCTCACTACTCCCTCCACCTATTCAATGTGGGATTATAACTATTTATGTGAGTGGAAGTAATGTACCATATCAGAAGTTATAATTTTCCTACACTGAAAATGTATTTCCGATAGGTACTTCCCTCGTTCACACTTCCCACCCTTCCTCCCTACTGAAAACCAGTGCTTCCATCTTCTGCCAAAACTCAAAGCGATAGTTCAGTAGAATTGAATAGAGGGAGCTACAGGCATCATGAGAGTATGTCACACTCTTATTGATGAAGGGTTGACTCATGATGCAAATGTATGAGACACACATTGGAATCATTCAATTCCAATGGAGGGGAGATAGAAGGCTTGTGGCATGCATAAAGAAAATTGTATATAGAAGGCAGCACTGAACAAGAATAGCTACTTATGTGAGAGGAGATAAGTACCTATTGGAAATACATTTTCAGTGTAGGAAAATTTTAACTTCCAACTTGAATGAACAAAGTGTGGTATGATATTGCATACATCAATAATGAGCATGCTGGTTAATATAAGCTAGAATAGAGAAATTGGGGTATGATATAGGTTTTTTTCAAGAGCTACTGTTTGCTACCACCTGGAATAAAAAGAATGGAGTATTGTGTATTTCTAGAGCCATTATACATTATATATGCATGTACCATATCAAAAGTTATAGTACGGAACCTCTGATGGTCACTTTGGGGTTATGGATTCGGTCACTTTTATCGACCCTGTAGCAAGAGGGTTAAAAGTACCTGGAGTTATATTTGTGTCCTGTAATTTTAGCCTTAAATCCATGTTTTCTGTAGTAAGTCTTTGCAATTTTGACTGCATCGCATATAACCTAAAGGCCAAAAAATAGTGAAAAACTGTTGATATTTTGCTGCATTTCCACTTAAACCAAAAATTAAAGAGGTAGCAAGTCACAAACTGTGTGAATAGTTTTGGTTGTCATACTACATTGAGTCCAGCTGGATTTTAGAGTAAAAATAGAGATGGGGTTAGAGGATGTACATGATGATAAACATTCAAACTTATCACGCTGAGCCTATGGAAGAAGTTTCTAATCAAGAATCACTAAGTGAAAGGCATGACTGTTTGTCAGAAGATACTGAAGAGATGGTTCTCCTTGGTCACAGTCATTAAAATTGCTAGACCTGAAGACATTAAAAATAAGTTAAATTCTTAATAAATATCTATAATTTGTGTAAGGAATGTACTAATTTTCTATTTGAAATACATACAAGTACATCTAAATAATAGAAAACATAAACAAATAACAAAGAAACATTACCTGCAAGCCGACATTTCATTAAAAGAATATAAAAAGTATTACTGATATTGTGTTTCTTTTAGTTAACTTTGGTTATTTATTTCCATCCATGATTTGACAGGCTTATTATTAGGATTTTTTCTGTTTATTTATCATTGTTTATATATTTAAAACAGAACACTCCCACATATTAGTTCATGACAGATCATAAGTAATAAAAAATATTACTCTTATTTAACTAAATTGCTGATAAAATTTTTTTTTAATCTTTATTAATAATTCAGTGGAAAAATTAAAAGCCACACATGTTAACTACTAAGTGTTGTTTACATAGCACATTGTATTTTGATGCTACAGATACCCTGGATGAAGGCATCAACAAAATGAATAATAAGGTCCAGATGAAATCAAATTTGACCCACCCACTACTCTAAAATTACAAACCTAATACTTGATAGCATGTTTCCATTCAGTAGAAGCAAGAAGTCTAACACAAAAAATGCTATTAAGTACCAGATTTGTAATTTTCAATTATTGTATGGGTCAAAGTTTGATTTTAACATAAGCCTAACATTATTATTACTACTACTAATAATAATAACAACTTTGTGAATTGGTTTGCCTTATGGTGTGGTTAGTGCTGTTAATTTGAATTTCTTTAAAACTTTTGGATAGGTATATAGATGTGCTAAAAACCCTGTCACCTTTCATTTCCTTTGTTTTTATATAGCTAGAAATGTAATTGTTCAAGAGCTTTTGGTTAATAGTCATTGTGACACTTTCAGTGTTTTTATTAAAATGTATAGTACTACTTGAATTAAGTCATATCTGTATTTTTAGGAAACTTTCAGGAACTTCAAGGTAGTTTTGAAAAGAAATAATCTTCATCCTAAAAGTTTAAAAAAGATTGACAAAAGATAATTATGATTTTAACTGTCATTTGAAAAAAATATCAAAATATTGTAGAAATTCCTAGTGATTGAAAGTTTATGAAATTTTTTGAAAGAATGAGTAAAGGGAGTATCTAGAAAACTTGTTAGTTTGACACTGTGGGACTCACTTGGTAAACTTGTGTTTTATATGCAGTGTCTGCTTGTTTCATGCCTACAATGTATGTTTTGTGTTCTTCTGTCAAAAATTTTAATAAAATGAACTTTACAAAAGACTTTAATTCAATAAAACACAGTTTTAAGTTAAGACACCTGTATCAGCCATTGAAATTTGAATATTCTTTATAAAAACTTAATGCTTATCTACTTAGCTTGATCGAGAAATCCTTACCAAGATGTACCAGGGCATGACATTATTGAACACCATGGATAGAATCCTCTATGAATCTCAGCGCCAGGGTCGTATCTCTTTCTATATGACCAATTATGGTGAAGAAGGCACTCACTTTGGAAGTGCAGCTGCATTAAATCCAAAAGACCTGGTATTTGGTCAGTATAGAGAAGCAGGTAAGTGATATCTTCATACATTTTCATGTTTCCGCTCTAGAAGACTTCATTTTAACGTTAAAGAGAGAAATGTGCACAGAATTTCTGTGACATTTTGTGTATAGCTTGTATTATATAAAATCTTCCTACAGAATAATTATCTGAATTGCTGACTGGACACATTAATTAAAATGTGTTCTTAACAGTCATATTCCTTATGTTTGAAAAACAAAGATGATGCCAGTTTATCTTTCTAAAAATGTTATTAGTTAAAACATTTTTAGGTAATTTTTTGGTTTATTTTCGTTAACAATCTAGATCAGCATAATAATCAAGTATGTATTATAACAACATGTCATAAACAGTATTGACAATGTTCTCATTTTGGTTAATTTTTTATTCTCTTTCCAAACAAGGTGTTTTAATGTGGCGAGGGTTTACATTAGATCAATTTATGAACCAGTGTTATGGAAACCAAGAAGACTTTGGTAAGGGAAGACAAATGCCTGTTCATTATGGTTCCAGAGACCTAAATTTCATCACCATTTCTTCTCCACTAGCCACTCAAATGCCCCAAGGTATGGTATGTTAAAAAGAAGATGTTATAATTTGTTCCAAGAGCCAAAAGAGGAGCTATCTTAAAATTTTTCAAGATTTTATTCAACCAATGTAAGATGTTTGAACTCGAGGAAGAACAGTTCATTCAAAATTTCATATAAATTTTTAAATATTATCAAAACCATTACAACAAATTTCAAAGTACAAAAAAGTGCTTTTATTTTTCAATAAGCAATGAAAGATTCATATTTTTTAAAAATACAAATATTATTTCTCTCTAACTAAATTCAGCATTACACATTTAATGAAAAATAATAATCACCAAGATAATATTAAGGAGTATTTAAATTCTTTAGTGACTGAAAATTGATTGCTTGACATTTTGAGTAAATTTAAACTGTTTGAATACTGTTGTAATATAAAAAGATTGAAGAGAAAAAATAATTTACAACTTTAGTAAGAAATTACTCCCTGTTTTAATATGATAAAAATTTTAAGGCAGTCTTCATATATCCTTCAGTGAAGGAATAAATGTCTCATACTAAAACTTGATCCATTTAGAATTTATTATGATTGATTTGTTTCTGCAAAGAAAGTTTACATTAATTTGTGTTTCTAGCTGTAGGGGCCGCTTATGCATTTAAACGAGCCCAGAATGGCCTATGTGTCATCTGTTACTTCGGAGAAGGAGCAGCCAGTGAAGGAGATGCTCATGCAGCCCTGAATTTTGCAGCCACCTTAGACTGTCCTGTAATTTTCTTTTGGTGAGACTGAAATTTCAAAAATTGTTTGTTTGTTTGTTTTAAACCTTAAATCTCATTTCTATTCTAATGTACAATTTTTTTAAATGTTTGCTTAAGTCTCTTGCTACAGGAAGGTCAAAGTGTACATGTCATGACTTTTTAGAGAGTTACATTCAAAATATAATTAAACTTTATTATCATTGTGTACAAATAAACTCAGCATCAAAACTTAGTTAATAAATCACATTTTAATACTATATAAATAGTAAGTTTTTAAGTTCTTAATTTTACAAGGAAGTATAAAAAAAAAACTCTAGTATGAGAATTGTTACATTTGTTCTGTAGGTCTTCCCTCTTCTCTAATTTATTTATCATCCCTCCAAGAAGTATGGAATTTAGTGTAAATTACTCGTTATGATATAGATATTACTCAGGCAAGGCATGATTTTTATAGTCTTAAATATTATATATTTAAAAAGCCATAAACTAGAAAAATCATACCTATTTGCAATGTCTTTCTGTCACATCCTCTCTTTCACAAATTACCAATAGCTCTCTCTGACATTTTATACTCTACTATTTACAACAAATAGCATAGTTTTAAGCTGTTAAATAGTGTATTATGTTATAGTTAGTTAGCTGAATTTTAAAGGCTCTTATCTCATAGCTAGAAAGCTAGAGAAATTGTGATAGCTATAGAACATTGTTTGTTTTTGCGCATGTTATTATTCTGTGTTCTTAAGTATCTTATTTAATTAAATAAAAGATTCAGTGTAGTAGTATCATTAGTATAAAAAGCAGGGTTTCATTGACAGTCGACAGCAAAAAATAAGAGACTCAAATAAGTACTATATTTCTTGTTCTTCATGTGTATTCTTTATTTATTATTATAAAGTAACTAAAATTAAAAAATTAGAAACCTATTTGATTAGGTTAGGTATGATAATGAAAAATAAAAATTATTCACAAAGTATGCTCGCAAGCAGATTGTGTATTACATAATTTGATACAGTAATGTGAGTTGCACATTCCTGAGTAATTTACAACTTGTGTGGTGGGATTATTAGACATGATTCAAAGGGCAATAAAACAATAATATCAAGTATAAACAGATGTATACTGTTACTAGCTTTAAGCTATTTAGGATAAACAATTGTGTTTTCTTGTTGCAATTTGCAGTCATTCTATAAAGAAAAAAGGTAATTTAGATTTATCTTCTAATTTTTATGGTGGTCAAATTACATGATCCCATGTAGAGTTAGGGTAGATAAGGTATAAAGTTTTTCTGAAGAAGAAAATGTTTGATATTTATTTAGAGATTATGCAAATGAAATTTAAAAATTATCAGATGAAAAAAATTATTTTTAATCTTAACATGAAAATCGCTATGTACTTGGAGTAGTCAACACTCTGACTCCATATAATTGCAGACAAAATTTTTAGTAAAAATACTTGTAATGTTTACAAAAAGCTTGAAAGATTTTGTAAAGATACACAAAACATGTTAGAATTTATAGTATGGAAACTCTGATTGTCACTTTATGGTCACAAGGTTGGTGTAATTTACCAAGCCTGTAGTAAAAGGGTTAATCTACCCCCACTTAAAACACTAAGAAACATAACGATTAAGATATTGTTTTATAGAACACCCATGTCTAATGGTTTGGATGTAAAAGGCTTGAAAATATTTCTTGAAATTAAAAAATTAAATGGCAAATTTTATTATGTTTGGAATAATAGAAATGGTTTATGTACTATTTTCTAACACTACAGTTTTTTTGTAAGAAGCATCTGTAAAAGACAAGGTAAATCTCAGTCCACATATATCAAAAAAATCTCGACAGTTTTTCCAATGTACGAACATCGGCTGTCATCACACGTATTAACAGACTCTTCACTCTAGCTGAATGTCAGCTATCACCACACATATTAACAAACTTTCTACAAACTCTCCACTACACCTTGAATGTCAGCTATCACCACACATATTAACAGACTATTCACAGATTCTTCACTGTACCTGAATGTTTGCTATCACCACACATATTAACAAACTTCTACAAACTCTCCACTACACCTTGAATGTCAGCTATCACCACACATATTAACAAACTTCCCACAGACTCTCTACTGTAAATGAACATCATCTGTTGCCACTCATATCAAAAATACATTCCCCTGACTCTCCACCATACATGAATGTCAGCTTTCACGGCACATATGAACAAATTTTCGAAGAACACTTAAGCAGATCAAAGGATATCAAAAGTTTGTTGAAATTGTAAAAATGAACTTCATAGGTATATAGCAATGAAATTAGTGTGATTCTAGGTTCTTTGTAATCTTTTTCTAGAAAACAATTTTTTTCAAGGTGAATTTTTGGCTTCTGAATCTTCATGAATTTGTTTGTTATCTTGTTAATAGTACCAGAAGATATGTCCAGCTTCATTGCAATGTCTTTTTTGATATGCAGGTTTTTATTTTTAAACTGTGCCTTCACTTTCAGGATGAAGGCTTGGAACTGGGTATGGTTTTTCAGTCCATTGCTAACTTAAATGTTATGCTGTCCAGGTTTTTCTGAAGGTTCTTTTGTGTGTTTTTTGATTCTACATCACTTAATAACTTCACCGTACTAGTATATTTTCTTCAAAAAGGTATGATATATCCACCCACAAATATATTCATGGTATTGTAAAATGATTCAAAACTTACCTTGTACCAAACGCTCAATCCCTATTGCCACACTTGTAGCTGAGACAACACTCCACAGTATTAATATATATAAATCTTTCCTAAAAAGTGCAATTAAGTATGCTCTTGATGCTTGAATGGTGCTCATCTTTCCAGAAATGTGATAGTTATTGAACAAAATATAACAAAAGAAGATATGACAAAAATATTGTTGAAAGAGAAGTAGTGTTGAAAAAAAATTGTTGAAAGAGAGTAGTGTTGAAAAAAAATGTAAACCAACTTCACCACAATATGAATATTGGGGGTTTAACTTGTAATGATAATTCAACTACAGTACTTCCTTAGCTTAATTAAATGACAGCATAATTAACAATTGTCTGGGTAATTCCACAGATGAATGTGACTGAGGCAGCTCTAAAGTTTATCCTTGGTAGTACTTTGAATTTGCTTGTTTTATATGTGGAAAACTCTGCTTCAATGATTTTACTGATTTTCAGAACTGTATGTATCAAAAGTTATATTAATATACATACTTAGGTTTTCTAATATATAATACAAAGTATTTATTGCACATCTTTGTGTTTCATTTCTGTCAAAAAAGAACACAGAAAAGCATTTTTTGATCTGTAAATTAATCCTAGATATTTTCTCTATGATTTGTGTGTATATTCTATAAAAGCATTTTGTTGGCAATTTATGTTTTGTACTTTCAGTCGGAATAATGGCTATGCTATATCTACACCAACGAATGAACAGTATCGTGGGGATGGAATTGGTATGGTATATCTTTCTTTCCTTTTTTATATGAACTGTTTGATTACATCTCTGTATTACAAGCTATAAAATAATTTTGTTTTTAAAGATAATTGTTAAAAGATATTTTCAGTAGATTATAAAAACCTAAAATTATAAGGAATAATATTTTTTCTGCAAAACTTACACCATGCACAACATTATACATTCTCAGCATTTTTACAAATGGAAAACAAATTTATTTTGAGAAAACCCTCTCTCTGTTCTTTTGTTGGTGCTTTCTTCAGTGCTTGAAAACCTGGAAAGTCCTGGAAAATTCTTTTGATGAAATCCATTCCTTGAATACTCTGGAAAATTAGCATTTTATTATAGTCATTGAATGTCATGGATTTTTTTAATTTGGAATTTTTTTTTTAATTTGTTGCATTCCCAATTATTTGTCCACTGGTTCTCAAAAATATATTGGATAATACCTAATTTGATTTGGTGCACTCTTCATGGTTTTGGATTAGCTCAAAAATGTCAGCTAATTAGCATTTTAACAAAAGATGACAAGAGGTCACATTTGTAAGAATTCTGCATTATACATGCAAGAAATTTAGTAAATTGAAAATAATAACATTTCATTCCAATATGCAAGTGTAACAAACTACAAGTTGTTTTTGTCCCTTTTTGTTTTAATGCAACATGAAAAACATTCTAAACATCTAAAAAAAACCAATGCATATATCTAAAAGGATGAAAACTCTTTGCTGAACACTCTCATCCTTTCAACTGTGGGGACTTTATAATGCAACAGTCAATCCTATTATTAGTTGGTCAGGAGTAAAAAATTAGGTAGTTTTCTTCTTATTCATTTTGAAAGGGTTTTTTCAAGCTTTGTAATATAAAATTGTAATTATATAAAGTTTTATGTAATAAATTGATGATATTTTAAATTCTTTTTTTTTGCCTTTAAATTTAGAGTACTTGTTTGCCTAGTAAATATAAATGAGTTATGAGTATTTGATTCCCTTGATTTAACTCCCTATACATAGGCTTAGTCATTTTGATCGACCTTGCAACCATCATATAACTATGAAACTATACTTTCTATTATTATGAAGTTAAATACATCTTCACAAAATTTGGTTAGCTTTTAGTAAATGTTATAAGTCTGTTATACACAAAAAAGTTAGACTAACTCAGTAAAAGTTTAATAAATTCAGATATATATCTTTAGTAAAAATACTTAAAATATATAACTTTTTTGTGTATAACAGACTTTAGTCTGAGTGCAAGGTGATATTTATGTTAAGACCAGAAATACTTCTTTTCATCTTTCATCAAAAGTTTTTTCAGTAAGAGTATTTTTGTCTGTTGATTTTTATGTCCTAGCATTAATTGTATATGGCGTCAGTCAAATTGATTGACCTTGTAACTACCATGTAACAAATAGATATGAAATAATTTTAAATTTCTCCTTTTTCTATCTAGAATAACTGCATATTGTAACAGGCAATTACATTTTATGCTTACAGCCAAAGTGAATAGATGTTTCCTTTAATTTCATTTCTTGACAGATGCACTTAGACCCTTTTAAATTTTTTATGTATTGTCATAAAAGTAACTAAAATGAAAAATCAGAAACTTATTAGGCTATATAAGAAAATTAAATGAAAAAAAAGGTTTATTGATACTCAATTTCCTAGTATTTCTACATGTGTTGCATCATTTTAATTCAATCATGGAGTAGTTGTAACTCAATATGTTGTTTTAAAACATCACCAGCATAATATACAGATTTGTCTGTACTTTGGTACTTGTATCTGGAATCTTATCTTTTTTCAAGCCTTTGCACTTGTAAGAAAGAAGTTCCCCATCACACATAAGCTTCCTTTTTTAGGTGTCTCGCAAGTGATTTTGAAAAATTCAAATATCTATCTTAGAACAAAAAATACTGTCACACACAAAAAAGCAGAATATTCTATATAAAAATTACTGTAATTTAACAGGCTTTCTAGCTAAACTGTAAAAGGATTAAATAATTCTGATTGCTGGTCAAGTCGAGATCCAACAATGGCAAACGCTGAAATTGACAGCAAAATTTTTAAATACTGACATTTCATTGGCTCCTGTCCTTCTCATATTTTGTGAAGTGGAATCTTCTCTTTCATTTTTTTTAATTGACTTGATTTGTATTGCAAATTTTAGGCTTACTTGGATAGCATTGTAGAAAAGTATAAACTGTTTTTGCAACAGATGAATGATAAGTGACTAACTTTTTTATCATTTATAAATATTCAACAATGCATATGCTTAATGTGTAGCTCTAGAGATGTTGAAAAACTTCTTATGTTTGGTATCATAGTGGAAATGATAATGTTTTGAGAAGAATTGAAATTGCACGATGTTGGGAGATAAATGTACATATTGTAGTTATTCTCTTATGGAACATTTTAAATACCTAAAGCTTATTTGGACAAAAAAATCTGGAAAACTAAACAACAGCAGTTTTGTGATTTTTATAAAATGTAGACCATTTGGTTTCTAACATTCTTGTAGAACAAATTCATGAGTAAATAAACTTTTAACATTGATAGCATTTAGTTCATAGTTTTTAGTAGATTAAAAAAAAGTTATATAAATTTTAGTTTTGCTCAGTCAAGAAAAGTAAGAATATTGGGGAGTTAAAAATAGTTAGGCCAAATCAAAGTATTACTTCTTCTAAAGTTTAATAGATTTTTTAAGGTTAATTTTTAATGTTATTTGTTTATAGATTTTTAGGTATTCCACCCTCTACTTAGTTTCTACACCCTGTTACCATGTTCCTTTATTTTATTACTCCATGTGTTACTTTGTAAAACATACTTTTCTTTCTATGGACAATGTTTGTACTACAAGTGAAAACACAAAATATCTTTATTATAGTTTTATAACATAGACAATTAAATGTCAGTAAATTTTCTTAAAATTTTTAATTCCTATAGTATTTATATGACTTTAATGGACTTTAAAATATGATGTGATTTATTTGGACGTGTACAAATGATGGAAATATTTGTTTTCAGCATCCAGAGGGCCAAGTTATGGAATAGCATCCATAAGAGTAGATGGTAATGATACACTAGCTGTCTATAACGTCACTAAAGCTGCCAGAGAACTGTGTGTGATGGAGAACAAGCCTGTGCTTATTGAGGCTATGACATACAGGTATTATAGAGACATTGAATATCTATAAAAATGTATTACTACCACCCTACAAAATACCTATTGAAATTAGTAAATTTTCTTTCTGAGCCATGATAACTCAGCTATTTTTA